CAACAGGTAAAATTTCCACATAAAGGGAGAGCTGTGACTCTAACCATAACTAGGACACCGGGGATTTTGTGTGTTGAGTTACTAAACCTAAGAAGTTCTTCCCTGTTCTGTTCATTTGTCCTGAAAACCATTTTTTCAGTCAAAGCAGAGGTGAGATGTTTACTCCTACCTTTTTCACACTTTTCTCCATAGTACGGTCGATGGCACTGACAGCTGGCACCGACCCACATATCCACACACCGTCCACGCTGCATGCACGGGTCATCACCACACCAGTCTGGTTTGGTGCATCCCAGTGTTAAGCCCGAATTCTCCTCCCTGCTGAGATCTTGAGGCAGCAGCAGCTTATTGTCAACTTGAAAGTCTTCCATGCAGCCAATGAATGCCTTTCCACTGGACAAGTTGCCCACATATTTCTGTGGTGCCCCTCCTATATACAGCTGTTGGAAGGAGCTGGGTTGGAGGAAGATCAGATGGTTTCGACCCTCATTCTTTACTTGGCATCCTTCCTCACAGCCGGGTCCTTTTACAGCCACGACCAATCTCTCATCCATGGTCACGGTTACCGTGTGCCATTCTCCATCATTGACTGGGCCTGGGTAACTGGCCCACAGTAGCTTCCCTGATTTCACCTTTGCTTGGAGGGAGCCTTTGACAAGCTCGAGAGAGACAAAGTTCTCCACGGTGCCCCGGTAGTAGAGCACCATGTCAGGAAGAGTACTCCTGAATCGAAGCTGCATGTGTAGAACATTTGGCTTCGTCTTGTTCTTGAAAACAGGCAACTGCATGTGGACGTAACCCTCTGAGTTGAAGGAGAAGGTGGTGGAGGTATTGCAGTGAGCTCCCGTCCAGCCAGCAGGACACACACAGGTGTAGCCGTGTTCACCGTTCTTGATCAAAACAGGGACGCAGCCCGCTCCGTGCTGGCACTGGTGCTGCCGGCAGCCGACCAGCCTGACGTCGCAGTCTCGCCCCCCCCAGGGCTCGTGGACGGGCTCCAGCGCAGGGCAGAGACACCTGTAGGAATTGGCAGCATCTTCGCAGGTGGCGCCATTCTTGCAAGGATTACTGTCACACTCGTTGATGTCGACCTCACAGTGTACACCTGCACGAGGAAACACTGACATTTAGTGTGTGTCCAACTTTGCCGTGCTAAAAACACATTCACATGGATCAAGTTTTCACTACAACATCTCTTAGATATCAAGTCAGTGAAGCACACATGTAGATGAAGACGAGGGATGAGCTTTCTGCGATTAACAGATGAGGAAATGACCTGAGGAAATAGCTGTTAATTTCACAATTAGACAACAAGGATCTTCAGTCTCCCTAACACAATTAACTTAGTGTCTGTCTTGTTGACTGCACCAACTGAACCTTTAAATATTGCATTTGTTAGCTGTGTATGACACACCCTCTGTGCGCCTCTGAACTCTGTTCAACATTAACTCTCAGCAGCAGCAGTCAGCTTGCATTAACCTAGTCCTCTGAAACACTAAACCCGAGGTGTCCTAAAGCTGCTCCTTCAGGCTGCCAATGCGCCACTCTCATAAAAACCTTGCAACTCTATGCAAATCTCTTCTATGCAATCAAAGAGTGCTGCATCATACCTGTTACCCACCAGGCCCCACAGCAGCAGCACAGCAGCAGCACCAACCTCTTTTCTTCCATGACCCACTGAGGCAATGGACAACACACAGCTCACACTGGACGAGTGAAGTGACATAACCGAGTCCCCTCTCTCTCTAACATAACCCAGAGGTGCCTCCTCTTCTCTACTCTGTACCAGGCAGACAGGCAGGAGTGATTACACCAGCCCTGCCCACCTTTTCTTCTGCCTTTTTTCTCCCTCCTCCATCAGTCTGTGAATTCCTCCCTCCCTCCCTTCTTCCTCCTCCTCCTCCTTCCTCACTCACACCCTATACTCCTACTCCTATCTGCAGCTCAATCCTATCAAAGCGATTAGCTCCCAGCCTCCAGCTGGCTCCTGTCAGTGTCTGACAACAGGAATGCTGTGCTGCAGTCCCCTCCTTGCTCCAGGAGCTGGTTTCTAGTTACTCACCAGTGCCAAGTACTTCCTGGAAAGAGCCAGCAGGAGGTGCTGCATGTTCAGTGTTTGAGGTGTGTGGGCCAGGTTTGAAAAGCACTGGACTATATAATAATATATACAA